CCCTCCCTCCCTCTCTCCCTCCCTCCCTCCCTCCTCTACCCCAGTCCCCCATCCCCCTATGAGGTGGCTCTTTCAGCTGGAAGAGAATGGAAACAAGGAGACAGCCGCAGCCACACCCTGGCACCTGCCACCATCTGTGAAGTTCTTACAGTGCAAAAACCTCTGCGCAAGCTGAGGATTCTGGGGTTAGGGGAACACCCTTGATGCGGGGATTTGCTTTATAATCAACCATGCAAAGGAGTCCCCTGAACTTCTTTTCTCAGCACTGTCAGGAGAAGAAGTTAAGAGATTTTAGAAAGTGGCTCTTGGAGCACATAGCTGCATGAAGACCCATTTCTGCTAAGAGAATTGTGCGGATTTCTCAGGCAACACGACTTAGTCAGGAGCCAGACCCTAATTAGCCAAGACAGGCTGCTCTACGTTTTGTCTGCACTTCAGTGAGCTCTAAGGGCTTAGGAGAGGTTGTTCCTCCTCTGTTCCCATGGGGAAAGGGAAAAAACAAGCAGGAAACACGCATCTCCTTAAGCAGGACATCTGTTTCAGATGAGAAATAGAGACAAGTTAGGGACCATGCAGAAAAACAGAGGGCTAGAGCAGATTCTTGAAACATCACTCAGATGGATCAAATTTCGCTGCTGCCCACCAAAACTAAACTAAATAGGCCGATTTTGCAGTGAAAGCGATTGAACCAAAAAATACAGCCCCTGGCTTACAATTGTGCTTTCTCCTCTGTTTGTGGTAAGAATGATTGCTTACTGTACATAGATTCAATTCCAGCGCTTGCAAGTAGCAAAATGAAACACGAGTTCGTTTCTTCCTCCTTTTTAAAGAGGGAGGTAGGGAGATAGAAACACAGGCCGAGTAACTGAAGAAAACATTCATTATAGGATAAGAGGTTGAAAGGAAATTTTACTGAGAGGAAAATTAACCATGAAATTTCATCTTCATTTTCCTCAAGTTCTTTGAGCTTCAACTTCTGCCTTCTTTCTGGTGTTTGAAGAGAGATGAAGGATGTATGACCTATGGAAAAGAATGGAAAAATAATATCAAATTACTGCTGGGGGGGGGGGATAAAGTGTATCATGGGCAAACAGAAACCATAAAAACAATTTTGCTCTTGTTGGGTAGAGGGGTGACAATACGTGCTTGAAAAGGCATTTTGCTAAGGGAAAGATGATTCATTTATTTACTATGTACTTTTAGGCTTAAATTCATCCTTCTTGGAACAAGCCAGTGTTGTCCAGAGTTGTTGCAATCATTTCAGACAATCACCTCCCTGTGTTCCTGCTACATCATTATTACTTAACTCTGGAAATGCAGTTATGCTGTGGCACGAGCATAAAGGATGTCTTTAACTTATGAAATGGGCAGTTATCTTTGAAACATTACTTCTAAAGTATTGTAGCAAATCATGAAAACTTAAAACTTAGAATCACTTTGTGTGCTGAGATAGCTGATAAAAAAGAATGGGCAGAGTTGTGGTTACTTTCCTGTTTTATCTACTATCTGCACTCTTCTAATAATATATAATCCTAATAAGTATGTTGAGAAGTTAAATAACTTTTGGCAAGGGTATAGGTGACTAAGCTTTTATCTTTCTTTTGAAAGAGGGTTTTAATAACATAAATGGGCATAAAACCACGTCAAAATGGATATTCTATAACCAAATAGCAAGAGTTATGACCACAAAGGCCATTCTTTATTAGGTGCTGTACCACTTGGGAGGGTGTTGCTAATATAATGCTTTTACTTCTGTAAGTCTTGTTTTCAATTAGAAATTGGTCTATAGTCTAAAACACAGCTGCATGTGCAAAGTTGTCTTCTCCTTCTTCCCACTTACTGATAATGACTACCTACAAATAAGCCTTTCCTTTTGAAAGTTCCAGGAGTTTATCCTAATTTACATTTGTAGGGTTCATTTCACTTTC